TTAGGGTCAAGACATGAGAAGCCCAGGAGTGAGACAGGACTTTGCCAAAGAGCAACCTGTGGACATGTCAGTTCACTGAGCAAAAGCTGCTCGACCTTGAGGGGGACATTCTACTGATCAGGGATGTCTGCAAATGGACCCTGCCTTGAAGCCTGAGGGCTATAGCCTGGATGTCTGCAAACAGACTCAGGCTTGTAATCCAAAGGCGGAGAGAATGATCAAAGGATGTCAGCTCAGCAGATAGGAGCAGTTTGCTATTCTAAGCCTGAGGCAATGTTCCTATCTCTCTCCTGAGTATGAGTATGTCTCAGTAAATGAGGAACTAGATAAAGTAGAAAGAAGTACGTGGTCTCTTTGTTCCCGTTTAGGTTATATGCTTTACTGCTAACTCGTGAGCTTTTCATGTGAAATTATTGTAATCTATAACATGAAAAAGAAAATAAAAATGGGTGCTAGACTTCAGTCAGTACCACCTGGCTCACGGGAATGCTGGTGGTCCCCTGACCTTCCCACACCCTTTCACCTTACTTTTTGTGTCCGTGTCTTTGTCTCTCCCATCTCTTGCAACCCACACTGCCTGGGGACCCGGTTATATTGGGGGCATCGTGAACCCCTAATATAAGACTATTTGATTTCTACACACATTTCTACTTCATTATTATTATTACTTTTGCACATTCCATGACATAAATTTAGGGTATCATCAGAGTGTCTGATACCTGGAGTCTGAAATCCTTTAGGTAGGGGCTACTTGTGGACTACCGGTAGAGTTAGAAATAAAGGAACCAAAGCAAGGATTGCCTCCAGGAAGCACGGTTATTGGATGGCCCTATTCGCTGGTGGAGCCTGTATTTCAGCTGTAAATGTGTTAATGCCATTTATTGGCTCACGCTTTTGAAATGTAATACACTGCATCATTAATTTTGTAGTTTCATCTCTGAAAGCTATACATTGAACATTCTTATTGTCTTAATTTTCTGTAACCTTTAATAACATTTGTGAAAGTACATAGGAAAGAAGAAATTGCTCCTGGCTATTTGACAAATGCATTTTAGGAATATTTTATGGAAAATCCTCTTTTTCTTCACCCCTAGAGCAGTCACTGGAAAGACAGCATGTTTTAGATATCCAAAATTCATTGTTCAGAATTCAGAAATAAGCTCAAAACTTACCAGCTCAAAAATACCAGTTTGGATTTTCTGAAGAGGCCCCTGGTGCAGGCTTCCCAGGCCCGTGCCAGAGAGGCTTCTCTTTTGTAAATATAACATTCCCCAGACATCAGTCACATATTTGAGCTTAAAGATTATGCCAGGAAACAATGGGTTTGAAAACCAGTTATCCTTGAATGAATCTCAGAGTCCAACTTATTTGGCTACTCACCTGGCATTTGGCAATCAGAGGCAAGATGAATCCTTTGAAGCAAAGGAACTGATGCAGCTGGTAGGACCAGGAAAGTGCACCCCCTCCACAGGCTCACGGAGGGCCCAGGTGACAAGTTACCCCGTGGGAGGAGTGTTACGGGTCACACACAATACTTTCAGTCACCTAGTTATGTTGCTGTGTAACTTATATAGTGTTAGTGCATTTTTATATAATATCATATGATGTGTGTATAATATTATATATGTATATAACGTTGTATAATAATAATTGCTCTCTTAATACCCAGTCAAGGACAGGCTCCATGTGAAGGCACTATGGACACATTGTCTCTAATTGTCATGCTAACCCTAATGAAAAGTTATTATTACATATGTGTTGTATAGATGAAAAAATTTAAGATCAGAGAAGTTACATGATTTGCCTAAGGTCACATCTCTTCTGGCTTTGCTACTTTTTATGCCACATTACAATTCACATCTTAGATTTATCTGTTGTTATTTTAATTAGGGCCTAATTAAACTCTGAGAAGAATATTATTCTCAAATAATATACAAAGCCCCTCTGTCTCTTAGAACAAGAAGGATCTTGTGGGGCTGGTTTTAAGTTTTAATTCCTATGATAGCATGGATGGGGCATAACTCGGTGCTATGAGCATCCTCTGTCCCTCCCTGCCCTGCCCCTGAGAAGACTAGAAGCCTGGGGTATGTCATTATGGGCAACAGCTAAAATGCGTGTCCAATTCCCTGGCTGTGCAGCCCTCCACTGCTTACTTCAGAGAAAGTTCGTTTGACATTAAAACAGGACAGATGTAAAAAACATCAGGCAGAAGAATTAAGCTAAAGTTTGTGCTTCAAGGGGACAATGACAGACAGATAGCGTTGTTATATTTGAAAAAATATTTTCTCTCATTCTTTCTTTTTTTGTCATTTATATCTTGTCTCATTCTAAAAAGGATTTTGTGGTGGGACTTGAAAGAACTATGATTGAATCTGAGTTTAACAAGACATTGATTTACATAAAAGACAAGTAGAAAAAAGAGGGAATATAGAAACATGTGAAATTGCTCTCAAATACATGAAATTTAGGATGAATTTTTTCTAAAGCTACACACTGAAAATTTCTAATATGTAAATAATTATATGTTACTAAATACATCTGCATAAATAAAATAAATATATATGATTTTGTGCCTATGATAAAATATCTATAATCATAAAGCAGGATTTATTAAAATACTATTAAAGCTAAATCATTTCTCTAGTGAAAATACTAATGTAATTGAAAATCCTGTGATAAACAGAATGGTATCTAGGGTGACATAGCTACTTTGAACAGTTTTAAGTTTTTATAGCTGGAATGCTCCAATTTTGTAATAGAACTCTCTGAAAATACAGCAAACAGCATCCTGGCATTGCAGTGACAGGCCTCTAAGATAAGTAGAAAATGAAGCTGAAGCTAATATGTTCCCCCTCAAATGTCAGAAAAATATTAAGCAGAAAAACAGTTTAAATGTACAATTCCTGATGAATGCATTTAGAAACATTCCAAAGTAATTAGCTGTGCTTGAGACCAATTCAGGACTATAATATAAACTATAAATTTCCCATATTGGTAAGTCTAAATAGGGATATACTATTCAAGCCAAACACTTCCTTTGTTAAGTATCTGAAGACTTGTAAGTTAAAGAGTTAAAGAAAAACTATAATGAGGAAGCAGTAAAAACCAACTGTTACATTTAATAGTCTAGAGCTCCCAATGAGATTTATCTGTCTTTGTGGCAACTATATTTATCCTTCTTTGTAGGTTTCCTTGAGGACAAGGGAGATTGTAACTGTCTTTTGAACATCACTGATTTTCTTGTTTTATATAAGGGTACAAAATGATGCTTATTTATAATTTCTAGATTTTACTGTAGGACAAACACAAGCATTAAAAGAGTGTTGTAGTAGCTACCTACTCCTAGATGTTCAAGAAAGAAAGGGGAAACATGTTAAGGCTCATCCTCAGTGATGATCAAGTTCAGAAGCAAACGTTGACATAGGGGAAAAGCTACAAAGAGGCAGCTTTTAAAACAATAAAGTGGAAATATTAATAGTAATAGTACATGTATCATACGTGTCCTTGAGGTTTACTGAGGAAGTATTTGTGAGTCGCACACTTCAAAAAATGTTAGCTAAGACTTTTGGGGGTGGCTGTTCCCTCATTTTTCCATTTCTTTAATAACTCTTTCATCTCTATCTCTATCTCCCTCAAGTTAACTAGAATCTAAATGTAATGGGTGCACTTAGAATTTCTTTTATGAAACTTAATTGAATAATGTGCACATGGGAGTCATTCTGTAACTTCATGGATATTTGATGCTGCTCTATGGTAAAAATATGAATTACGAGTGAAGAACATTTAAATAATTATTTTCCATAAAGTAAGAATGCTGTTATTAAAACATTGTTTGGACAATAAGAGACTCAATTGTTAAGGCCCAGTTTTTACTGTGCTGAAAGAGTAACCATCTTGCCTAAATGTCCACATTGACTATAGCTCTTCAGATAATTTGGAATGGATATCATTTTAAGTACTTTATTATAAGCCTTCACAAGCTCCCATAACCCTGGTTTGAAGTCTTTTATACTAAACATGTATAGTATTAAACATATCAGTAGGTCTTACTATTGAAAGATAGCTAGACTTTCCAAGAATTCCATGATTTCCTGAACAGTCTATGCCTAGAGCAAACTTAATAGCAATTTAGTAATAATATAAAACATAATGATTCCAAGTAGAGGTTTGTTTGTGGCAGGAGCTGCCATATATTCAGCTTATTGTTTGATTTTTTTCTTGTATGTACAATGAACAGATCATGTTGCAAAATTTTCATGCAGCATTCCACTAAATTACTAACTTATTTACACGGCTGTTAGGAATTAACTTCAAATGTTGACTTATACCATGCATGTGAGAAGTATGGAATTTCAAAGTTCTAATAACAAAAAAGATAATTAGACTCATATCATTTCAAGCAAATCACACTCTCAATGAACAGATGTATATCCACTGTCTGCCAAGAGATCACCAAAAACTTGCTAATATCTTTGTTAGAGTAAAACAGATGTATCTGAGCTCATCTATGTTTTTCAAAGCTCATAGAGTAATATTTTTTAAAAATAAATTGATCAGTCCAAACCACTTACCTGATTTTAATAATAGTGCTTAAAAAATTCATCTTAAACCAATGAAAAAAAAAACTAACAAATTTTAACAGGAAGTTTCTAAAGTAGAATTATTATCGAGAAAAAGAACAAACCCAAAACCTACTAATGTATTCAAAAGGCTATTAAAAAACTTTACAATTTAATTATTGGAAGCTTATAGAACTGCTTCAATGCTTCTGTACTGAGTAAGTAAGCTGTGTGTGTGAGGAGTAATAAATGAAATTGTTAATTTTACTGTTTCCCTAGGGAGCAGCAGGAGAGGGGGTGGGAGTATGCTATGTAGATCTCCAAATGGATAGTGTTTTATATACAATAATAAATCCTAAGTGTATTGCTAATTAACTCTACTTCAAACCATTCCCCCTTTTTTAGAGCTTAAAAGACATTTTGACTCCTGGGCTCACTCACCATTCATATTCTTAAAGATGTTCAGGATGGGGAGAATTTGACGGTAATAGGGCACCAAAGCCTCCCCCACCATCTCCGCTGACACAACCAGATGCTGGAGGACTTTGAGAGTGACACAGATGACCTGTCGGTTTCGAAGGTTCAAGGCATCTGTATGATAGGAAAAGGAACAAGCAGGAAATAAAGAGCATTAATTCTACAATGTGAAGACAAAGTTGTTTTGTGGATACGTTTAATTAAACTGTGCTCTAGTGGGGATCACCAATGGGACTTTATTATTACAGCTTTGAATGACACATTGCAACCCTAATGTTTTAAATGGGATCTTGCCTGATTACTATTTATTCCCCCACATGTACTGATTCCTCACCAGTCCTAAGGGTGCAGCTTGCTTTTCCTTCATAGAAGAGGCTGGTGGTCTGAGAGAGAACAGCCGGGTAGGTAGCATAAAAGATAAAAGATCACTTAGTGTCACTGAAGTTAAAGGAACCCATGAAGGTTGACAGTAGATAAATTTTTATGCAACAATCTCTTTCAGTTAACCACCCATGCTATTCTTAAAACCATCAACATGGAACAAACAATTTTGGGGGAGGGAGGAGGAGGCACCACGTATGTGGGGAGAAACTACCGGCTGGTTACGACACTGAGAATATTCTTGGTCGAAGTGTATGTAAAGAGACTGCATTTAGACCCCTCAGGCAAGTGGGGAAGAAAAGCAAAAATATTAAATGTTCAGTTAGAAGGAATCAACAATTATAAGCTATAAGAGACCAAAGGAATACAAAATAATTTTAAAGAATAGTTTTGAGCACAGAGTAACAAGCTGTGCTGCAGAGACGGAGCACAGGACTGTGGACTGCCGGGGAGGCCCAGCAGGCGGGAACGAAAGGTGCCATCTGCCCCCGTGGGAGATGCAGCGTCAGGAATCAGGATGCTGATAACTGGCTGTGCGAACTTGCCCAACTCGCTGACGCGTTCTTGGCCCTGGTTTCCTTCATCATGGGAACCTGTTATTTACTGTCTAAGATGACTACAGGTTTCCTGACTTAGGTAGAAGAGCCACGTAAAGCACCTATTACAGAAGGTCACAGGTGGGCACTGATAAAATGTGAGGCCTCAGACCACTCCAAGAAGTTAAAGACTCTTATCTGTAAGATGTTCTACCTTCTAATGAAAAAGATAGACTACGACCTTAAAGCACGCACCATTTATGGGGGGACCAAAGGACCAGGCTAGCAAAACTAATGACACTTTGGTCACTACACAGGAGAGGCAGTCCCGCCACTATTCTTGAACTCTAGCTCACATTTCCAACAGTCTGGATCTTGCCAGCATCTCAAGTTCAGTTTGTTTCAAAGATGAGCTTCCCCCCATGTACTTTGTCTTTTTTCCTGTGTTCCTCATATTTAGTAATGATAAACCCAGTTCTCAGTCACTTAGGTTCAAAACCTGTTTCTCATTCCTCACATTGCTCAAGTTACAGTCATCTGGTCTCCCCTTGCAGGATTTCTAGAATTTGTGTCTTCTCCATCTTCACCTCTGCTCCAGGTCTCCACCCTCACTGCCACTCCTCTGGGTCCGGCCCTTGGGACCCCTCCACTGAAGCACTTTCATGACCTCAAACAAACCTCTTTTTTTCTTTTTCCACCCCGCCAACCTGTCTATTCACACTGCTGCTAGATTAATCTTCCTAGAGCTTATTTGATCATCTCACCACCTGCTCCAAGATCTCAGAGTCCCCTTCCCCCATCCTTTCCTACAGAGTAAAGTACAAACTAGCCAGGCACAAAGGAAGCACTTAGGATAAGTTTGAACCAAACTGAATCCTCAGCTAAAAGTCCATGAATATAAGGTATTATTTAGTGGTTTCACAGCTATTTCCTCTGGAATCACTAGGAAGTTTTTAAAAATAAAGTGAGGTCAGCTTCATCTCCTCCAGCAACAAACTAGGGGTTGGGGCATGAAAACACTTCAGAGCAGCCCCACAACTTCTGGTCCAATCCAGACTACACTCTTGTTTGGTTTGGAAGCAAACACAAGTGTAATGAATAGAGATGGCTCAGCCTTAACTCAGGGAACCAACCTAAATATAACTATAGAACTCGGTAGCATGATGGCTCATTATTACAGCATTTAGACACATTGCAGGCCATACCATATCTTCTGAAAAACAACTAAAAATAGAATGCTATAATTTAGCCTAAAAGCTGTAGTAACGAGACGCTGAAGAACAAAGCTCCGGAGTACGCCGGGGCGGTGGAGGGGAGGACAGGCACACGGAGTGCTGCAGTCAGTGCTGGAGCCTCCTTATCTGCTTTGATCCCATCAAAAGTTGTTTCTCTGTTCAGGGAGTCAGGCGTTACTGAACCCTGCCTACTGACCCTGCTCAGTTTACCAGGAGAGAACTGGGAGTCTGAAGAAATGTTGTTATGAGGACTGTGGGCAGCTGACATACTTTCAGAAAGTCTATCAGTGAAGCTCAACAGGTTTTGGTCTCAGGAGTGCACAGACCTGTGTGACGATTCATGGCACTAGTAGCTAACACAGATTGAGCCCCACTATATGCCAGGAACTAGATCGAGCTCTTCACATGCGTCAGGTTACTTAGTTCTCCTTCATCACGTATTTACTGAGAGTGCACTGTGTGTGTGTTAGGAACTGGAAAGATGGAAATAAACAAGACAAATATGGGGCTGCCCTCTTGGGGCTTATCATGTAGCATGGGAGAAGACAGTAAGCAAATATTGCAGGTGCGACGACTTTTCGTGAGAAGGGCAGTGCATTTAAGCAGCCGATCAAAGGGGGCACCTAGCCTCGTCTAGGAATAAGGGAGGGCTCCCAGATGCAGGTACAAACCCCAGGGATGAATAGATGTCATTTAGGTGAAGAGTTTCCAGGAGAGCAAGCAGCACTCCAGGGATTGATTCCCTAGGAAAAGGGAGTTCTTCCACCACAGGGTCTATTCTAGCTCCTTTTGATGAGATTCTACTGAGGATTCAAGACCCCAGGTAGTAAGGAGATACCCTAACTGGTTTTATCGTTGTGAATATCTCTTTCCCAGGGTCACTCGGAAGTGCTGGGAAGAAGTATGTAGGGGTGCGTAAAGGGAGGGTGAAGCCATAGCACTTTTTCCCAAGCTAGAAGATCCCTAGGTCCCATCTTGCCTCATTTTGTTCTAACCAAACAGAATCAGATGTTTGGGATCCTGAGTTTCTCTCTTTCCCTTCTATTCATCCCTTCCTCCCACTCTACTTTTTAAAAAGGACTCAGAGCCACATCTAGATAAATGTTTTGTAACACAGAACACCCAGATCCACATGGGTGTGTTGTTTGTATTTTTAAATATATGTTAAATGTACCGTTGAGTACATATAGTTCTCATTCCATATTGTGGGTTTTGTTTCTTTTTCAAGAAAGCCTTTCTGTTGACACTATAAAGTCACAAGTAGGAGAATTTATGGAAGGTCTTTGAAGAGAGAACTATCTAAATGTGGTGACTGCAGAACAGATTTTGGTGGCCGTAGTGCTTACTGGATGCTAGCTATCACAGTTTTCTTCTTTTGGGGTGTCCAGGCCAAAGGTTGAAATAAAAGAGCCTAGGATGCGCCCATCTACTACCAATGTGAGAGAAGAGTTTTGCCATATGGAATATATTGATTAAGGAGTAAAGTTTACATATATATATGTAAGTAACACCAGCATCAAATTTTTATTAGGTTTATGTCTATATGTATAGCTAATTGATCACTTGGGCATACATTAATGATCTCTCTGACAATGGATAATGATATTAGTATTAGGAAATGATAATTTCATTTCATTGAAACCCTTACTGAATTAACATGGTTGGGATAAATGTTATTGGATTGACAATGGCCAACAAGTAAAATGCCTGAATTGTTGTGCTTAATGGCATCTAAAATGGATCTCTAGTTCCCCTAAATGACCAGGTAATGGCTCTAAAACCTGTGCAGTGGCTGTGAAATAAAGCCCAGGGTGTGCACTATAAAACCTGCTTAACTCCATCCAACAGGGATTTCTTATAATGCCCATTTTCTCTTCAGTTTCTTGATTTTTCTTCTTCATTCTAGGGAAATTAAGATATACCACTAAGTTGGAAGTCTTTTAGTTCTTCCTGTCACTGTGGAATTAAAGCAAAAAGAATTTTTTT